AGTTGTTTTTAAGACATTGACATGACTAGTTCTCAGTAAACAATTTGAAATCCAACTGTTATGATCTTGATTATTGCTACGTCTAAGCCGTCAGCATTGCATGTAAGTTATTAAATTATGAAAATGTCAACTTTTTAATCGTCACACATCATTCTAATTTCATAAATTTCTTTTTTTATGATTTTATGATCAACCTTTGACACATCATTCCGTTTCTCCTTTTTTACTTTTCGTGACAGCGAAATATTATAATATACTATTATTATATAATATATTATATAATAGCGAAATATTATTATATACTATTATTTTATTATAACTTTATTGCCTGAAATCTATTCTCGCCGTCGAATAAAATAAACTTTTGCTATTGTTCATTGCTCACTAAATTTTCTTTAATTTCTTTCTATCATTTTATATGGCAAGCAATTATACAAGTTTACTGTTAATATTTCTTTTTTTTATTAATCATATATACAAAATATTGTTTTTAACCTTGACGATAGTTTTTTATTTACATGTTGTTATTCGTACTCTTTGTCAATTTGAGTTACGTTTAATTATTTTAACGTCCCATATGTTTTCAATCTAACATTTTACTTATGTCAATTTGTAATAAGACTCATAAAATTCAAAAAACATTTAAAAAAAACTATGAGTTAAAAATTACTTAATAAAATTAAACATTGTCAATATATAAGTTTATACATAAGTAAAAGAAACAATTATACTTTTAGTTGTTTTAATACAATGTGCAAGCAATAAACAAACACACCTTTCGATCGGATCATTATCAATATTAAAAACATAAAATATTAAAAATAAAACATAATATGAATTTGATACTTTGTTCTCTCTAACAAATGGTAATATAAAAACGATTATCATTCTATTCACAATAAAATATCACATTATTTACGTAGTAAAATATTACAAATTATTTACATAAATTAGAAAAAAATAAAAAACACGTTCATATGTAGAAAAAATGTTCAAAATTATATATCCAGTATCACTAACAATAAAATAGACCAATTTAGTAGTAAAATAAATTAATTAATGATAGCTAATTTTGACAAATACAACTTATGTTATTAAAAAATTATGTTTTCTTACAATTTTAGGTGGATAAACTTGAAAATATACATAACCGAAAAAACTTAGACCATGAGATATAGGAAAAGAATTTAAGAATCCTTACAATAAAGTCAATCCAAAAATATATCTAAAGAGTTTGAGTCCTATCGGAAAGGTAAGAGAATACTATATGAATCATAAGTTTTGTAATATTTAAAAATAATGGACAAAGATACAAAAAACGCAAAGATGCAGGATACCCTGATGCAATCAAATATCAATGTCGAAAGTGCCAATCCAATAACAGTTTCTACAGTTGTTAAAAATGAACAACCGGAAGAAATAGGCAAAGTTAAAATAGATTCTGCGAAATTACTGGAAACAAAAACACAGAAAAATGAATCTATGGAAATTGGAGTAGACAAACAAGAAAAAACATCGATCAAACCCAAAATCAAGACTGACAAAGCAACTACCGAAGAAAATGCAGATCTAAGTAACGAAGAATATATTGTCGATAGAACATTAGTCAAACGTTTTAATACTAAAAAGAGATATTCGGAATTCGTAAACAAATGGAAATGCTATCCACATGAAAAGGCTTCATGCGAATCTGCAAAAGCCGTAGCAGCATCCAAAAGTTTATTGGATCAATTTGAGCGGAGTCACGCTAAGCAAAAGGAGACTAAAGAAGCGCAAAAGAAGACTAATACAGTCGTCGGAGGTGTCACTTTGCCGTTGCAGAAATCAGTGATAAAAACTGAGACTAGTCAACCTGGACCAAGTACTACGGCTCAAGAAAGACGTTCGATGCGGTCTAGTAAATTAAAAGCGATGGACCAACTCAAGCAATTGTTTATATATGGCTCAATAAAAAAGAAAAAGATTGAACTGTTGAGTAAAAAGACAATCGATGATTCGGAGAGTGATTCAGAAAAAGAAGGAAGCAGTGTCGCAAAGAAAACGACAAGGCAGTGATGACACAGGCAGTGATGAAGAATGGGGAATCTGAAGACCAAAGACTGTTGGGCCATAGTAACGTGATTCATCATCGTGAGGTACATACTGATGATAAGCGCTACAAATGCGAAACATGTGATAAAACGTTCCAGTACAAATCGCTATTAAATCGTCATTTGTTAATTCATACAGGTGAAAAACCTTATAAATGCGAGTTTTGTGAAAAAGGATTTACGTGAGTAAAAAAGTTATAAAAATATTAAATAATCATATTACTTAAATTAATGGTTAACAAATAATAAATATTTTGCAGTCAGAAATCAAGTCGAAACACACACAAAAGGAACATACATTTCGATAAAGTTTTGTAACATTCGTAAGAATGACTTTGATAATAAACAGGATATAATTAATCATTTAGTCATGAAGCAATCTGACATTGATGAAAGACCCTACAAATGTGAGACATGTTCAACTACATTTAAACGTTTAGGACACCTTAGAAACCATACAATAATACATACAGACGAGAAACCATATGTTTGCGAGGTATGTGCTACAAAATTATTGTTACTATTTTTTCTAATTATATCTCATTTGATTTTGGTTATTTTTACATTTTTGTAATTATAAATGTGCTGTATTTTAGATTTGCAACAAAGCTTTTACTTTAAGAAAAAGCCTAATGAGGCACAAATACACACATAGCGATATAAAGCCGCATAAATGTTCGATATGTAACAGAAGCTTCACGGAAAAATGTCGACTTCTTGCACACATGCAAAAGGAGGTCATTCACGATATAACGTTTAATTTATTAGCAGATTCATATTATCTTTCTATTTTTGTTATATATTCATAACATACTGTAATAGTCTCTTGTAATGTACCACAACATTTGATACATAAGAGATTATTTTTTAGGGTCACATTAGTGATAATGTAGTAAAGGACTAACCGCGACTGACAACAGAATAGCCGATCAAGTACAATTGTGACAACTCTTAATAATAATGACGAACCAATGATGAAAGAAATTGAGGATAAAATAATTTTTTTACAAGATTTGATATATATGCGTTGAAGGAAGTTTCCCCAAATAAATACAATTTTTCTAAGAGATACAATAAAATATTGTCAGATACAGGATCACCGACATGTAAAATTCACAATGTGCGTTCACAAAACAAAACCAACCACTAAATTAATTTTTTTAATAACTTTCATTATTTATGATTTTGTTGGATTTAAGATAGTACACTCGCAAATTAAAAAAAAGAATTTCTTGAAATTGATATACATAATGTATTATACCAGAAAAAATTGTTATGCTTTTGCAATTGAAATGAGACTGAGATTTCAGTACTGTGATGTATGCAGTTAAAGACCGCACTTCTTATACGTGCCGCTTATACAAAGTTAATGAAAATGTCGAATTTATTTTTGTATGACTTTAACTAGCAGTGATATGTTAATGAAACACGATCATGCGATGAAAGGACGTATATTATAAAAAAATATCGAAATTTTGTAGTTTGAAAAATAGATTCGTCAAAAGAATTTATTTTTAAACGTTATTTGTCAATCTGAAATGTGAATCAAAGGAAAAAAAGCTAATCTATATA